AGGAATGAAAGGAAGGAGGGAAGAAATTGAGAAAGCTGAAATAAGAAAGAAATAAAAGAAGTACTACCTTTCTCCTTAAGTGTCAAGGGGAGAATAAAAGTCGTTACAAGGGAGGGGGAGAGAGAAGAGATGTGTAGGTGGCGTCATCTCTAACGGTTATCAGACGAAGTTTGAACTAAAAGCGCTGCAAGCCTAAATAGGTACGAGAGATATATTATTTAGAAAAATTATGGAAAATTGAACGAAAGTTAATAGAAAGTGAAAGAAAAATTCAAAAGAAAAATAACTATTGAGTAATAAGGGAGAAAAATGAAATAAAAATATATCAATATATACACTTTATATATATATAAACGTTCTTAATAAACTTCATAACATTCCGAATCTCTTGTTTTAACCTTGCTTCCTCTTCGATTCCTGATAGCCCTCACGAGGAGTCTGAAAAGAAGATGGCCTCGTGATCTTCTCATGTAGACAAATTATTAGAGCTTCTACCAGTGGGTAGTTTCTTCAACAAGTCATTTCATGACGCTATGATATTTTCTGTTATCAAATTTACTTGATGTATTTATACTAATACAGTTGTAAATATCATAATAAAAGTTTTAAAAAAAAAAAAAGATTCACTGATAGAGTGCTACCATTGGGTAGTTACTCAGCAAGTGTATTCATATCTCTTCTCTCTCCCCCTCCCTTGTAACGACTTTTATTCTCCCCTTGACACTTAAGGAGAAAGGTAGTACTTCTTTTATTTCTTTCTTATTTCAGCTTTCTCAATTTCTTCCCTCCTTCCTTTCATTTCATTTTAACATTTTGACTAAGGGAGCTCATTCATGTGTTTCTACCAGATTATGAATCCTGAAATGCAAAAAGATTTCCAGAAAAACATATTTTTTTAAAATAAATTTTTTAATATACTATTTTGAATCATCCTGCAAGATCTTAGCTTCCAAAAATCCGTTTTAACATTTTTATTCAACTTTTAATAAACGGGACATATGCCTTTCCTGCCGCACATACCAATGCAAAATTAGAGCGACAATCCCACAACACTTCGCTCTCTTACGTATTTCCTCATTTCTGAAAAGCAAAATAACTGAAAATTATCATAAAAATTACTGTAAGTGATCATAAAAATTAAATTATTATATTTAAAAGAACGATACTGACGGCAGGATTCGGATTGTATATTTCATTGTTTTATACATTTTTTTCTTGCCTAAAAAAGTTCCATATTGAAAATAGTGCAGTTATAAATTTTATTATTGCACTTATATTTATTTTGTGTTTCAAACACTTTTATATTATGTGAAATATATGGATTGTTTAAAGGTGGATTGATAAATGATAGGTAAACCAATTGGTATATATGATATAAATTGGTATCATCTACTTTGAACTACAGCAATTTCATGTTTTGGATCTATTTTTGCCTAAAGAGGAAATTCTCTAAAAATAATCTCTGAAATATCTTCTTAAACTTTGATTTTATTAAAAAAAAGCAGATCATTTTTATAGAGATTTTGATGTACTTTCATATTGTACTGAACAATCTTTGCAATAAATCTCATAGTTTTCGAAATATTTAAAAAAAAATGAATAAAATATCCGTTTTCTGTCCTCTTCCCTGTCTCTCCATTAAAACCTGACATGACCCATTTTAGGGCTTTATACCAGTTATTATTAAGAGGGTAATGAACGATTTGTGTTGTTTAAATTTTTTTATGTTAGGTTATAATATAATATGAGTGGGCAGGGATTAGATAATATTTTAGAATTTTTCCAATCATTATCAAAAGAAATTAAAATTTTTTAAAAACATTTCTATCTCATATAAATCTATATAAATATTTAGAATTTACAGATTTTGCTTGTTATAAATTTTTGTATATTCTTTGCATTATAATTTTTTGTGTATTATTGATCATTGGTGCATTATTTAGTTGGTCTTTTGACTTTACTGTTTTGACTTTTCATTTGTTTCCTTATTTTAATTGCTATTAAAGGATTTTATTTAAATTCTTAACTTTAAAATCATTGTTATTCAAATTAATATAATCTGAAAAACACAAGAAACCTTTATTACCATCAGTCAAAAGCAAAAATGTTGTTTATTTCAATATTTGGCATGATGTTAAGTTAAATATAAGTTGATTATGTGAAATATTACAAGGAGTCGTGATTTTTATCAGTGAGGAACGATGATACATAATGTGTAATCAGTAGAGTATATTCAGTATCTTATATAAGAGAACCTTCACTTTCCGTCAGATAGACACTCTCACCCGTGAAAAAATACTACCTGACCTTGAAACCTTAGACTTGAACGAAATATATTCCTGCTCCTCCATCGACTCCATGATTGAGATCCTGACTTCCAATCTCCTCAATATCCTTAACACCCATGCTCCCATAAAAACCTCAACCTTTCGCCGCCGGCCTGCACCTTGGATGTGTCAAGAAATCAAGGATCTGCAGAAGAGGTGTGATGCTGCCCATATACGCTTTAGACATACCAGACTTACAGATGACTATCAAGCGTTTAGGGTGCTCCGCAATTTGACACAAACAAGAATTCGGCGAGCCAAAGCTTCCTACTTCCATGAAGCCCTGTCATCTGCCCCAGATCCCAAATCTAAATGGCTAATCCTTTGCAAACTTTCCCTCTGTGAACCTTCCAGATCCCCTTCCTCACTGGTCTTTTCCGTTTCACCTGACGATTTAAATTCACATTTTATTTCTGCCTCCTCTACCTCTTCTCTTCCCTCCTCTTCTAACTTTGCTCCTGAGTCATCATTTAATGATGATGACTTTTATTTCTCCGACATTTCCCCGACTGACTTATTAACCTCAGTAATGAAATCCGACACCAATTCCATAGGACCAGATGGCATTCCTGTCAAATTGATAAAAAAATGTCTCCCCGAAATCCTCCCAGTTCTCCTTTTCATCTACAATTTCTCCCTACAGAACTCAATATTCCCTACTCTTGGAAAAAAGCCATTGTACCCCCTTTAAATAAAAAGCCTAATCCATCCTCTCCCGATGACTTTCGCCCAATCTCAATTCTTTCCAATCTCTCAAAACCCCTAGAAAGATTGGTGCAATCCCAAGTTTCCAATTTCCTCGAAAAATCCAACCAACTTGATCTTCCCCTATCCGGTTTCCGTCCCGACTAATCTACACAATCCACCTTAATCAAAATTACCAATGATGTTCAGACTGCAATAGATAATAAACAATTAACTGTCCTTACACTTCTTAACTTCTCTAAAGCCTTCGATTCCATCAACCATCCCATCCTTTTCAACAAACGAAAATAACTTTCCTTCTCCAATAGCTCCATCTCTTGGTTCCAATCTTTTCTCTCACAATGCACCCAAGCAGTCTCTATTCCTAATCAACCACTATTTGCCTACCTGCCTTTATCCTCTGGAGTTGCCCAAGGATCTAGCGTATCTCCTCTCCTTTTTAGTTCCTGTATTAACGACCTCCATGACTCAATGCTCCATTGTTCCCACCACCTTTATGCAGATGATTCTCAAATATACCTATCCTTTTCTCCCCCTGAGCTATTGGTAGCATTTACTAAGATCCAAGCAGACCTAGATCGAATCTGTGCCTGGGCAAACTTAAATGGATTAAGGTTAAATGCTGCAAAAACTCAGGCTATTGTCAGTGGTTCCAAGCCCCTCCTTAGATCCTGTACCGGCTTTCCCATACTAAACATTGGTGACCAGCCAATCTCCTTCTACTCCTCTGTCAAAAATTTAGGACTATTTATTGATCAAACCCTCTCCTGGAATCACCATATTTCTCACATCTCCCGACAGACAATTTCTATCCTCAAACTATTCCATCGCTTCCGCCATCTGCTACCTCAACATACGCGTAGACTCCTGGTTTCCTCTCTCATCTTCCCCCACTTTGACTACAGCTGTGTGGTGTATGATGGAGTCTCTGTGGAGGTCCGTGACAGACTGAAAAGATTAATGAACAGTTGCATGAGATTTGTAATTGGTGCACCGAGATATTACCATGTCTCTCACCACTACACTGAGTTAGAGTGGCTCTTCCTCTCCATTCGAAGACAATATTTCCTAGGTACATTCCTCTTCATATTATCAACAATCATCGTCCTTCTCACGCCTACAATCTTCTCCAATTCAAGTCCTCAGTCCACTCCCTTTTCACAACATCTCGACCTTCCGACCTTTACATTCCTTCTCACAGATCTGCCTCGTTCCAAAACTCCTTTATAGCTCGCTCTGTTAATTTTTGGAATTCTCTTCTTTTCAAAATTCAGCATTCTTCATCCCTGTCTAAATTCAAAACCCTCCTATTCCAATTCCTGTCCCAAAAACAGTCAGATACCCGCTAACTTTTTATGTAAAATTACATATTATTCATAATAATGTATTTACATATAGCTCACAACTGAAATACTTATTAACAGACTTTCTTTTTTTTTTTTTTTTTTCAACAGAAACACAGAGTTTACTGCTAAGAAGATTGTAATGTATTTTTTATTTTTTCTAAAAGTGTATATTTATATTTTACCATTGTATGTAGTTTTAAGTGTCTTGGCAAGGTTTTAAGAGTTTTGTATATAGATTTTTTTTTATTTTATTTTGTATATAGTATGTATAACTAATATTTTCTTTACTGATTTATCTTTACATTTACTTTTTATGTTTGTTTTTATTTGGCGAGATATAACATTTTAATTTTGTAATTTTTTGTTATTCTGAAGGGAATTCGTCCCAGAGTAAAATTATTTTCTATTCTATTCTATTCTATATAATCTGATGGTTTGGGATAGTCTATTTACAAAGTTATTTATTAATAGGAAGGTATAAGTAATTTTTATATACTTTCAGATATTGTGAAATATTGGATATAAGAAATTGCACACAAATACTAAACTTTATTATTTAAAAAATAATAAATAAAAATTAGTCTTAATATAATATTTAAATTACTATTTTGTTCTTTTGCAGTCATCTGATTCAGTGCAACCTGGTGTGTCTCGACAGCCCTCGTTCTCTGCAATTACCCCTGCTCAGCTGGCGGCTGCACTTGCATCGGCATCTCAAGGTAACTAAAATAACTTACTTCCAACAATAATTTTCGATTCCTTAGACCATTCTATCCTCTACACTAAATTAAAATCACTATCCTTCTCCAATAGTTCTATCCTATGGTTCCAATCCTTCTTTTCTGACAGGACTCAAGCTGTTAGTATTCCGAATCAACCCTTATCTTCTTTCCTCACTTTGTCTCATGGAGTAGCCCAGGGTTCAAGCATTTCTCCTATCCTTTTTAATTCTTACATCAATGACCTTCCTAGTTCAATCCACCATTGTTCATACCATCTATATGCTGATGACTCCCAAATTTATCTTTCCTTTCCGCCCACTGAGTTATTAGAAGCGTTTATGAATATTCAGAAAGACCTAGATAGGATCAGTGCCTGGGCAAGATTAAATAATTTAAACTTAAACGCATCAAAAACTCAGGCAATTCTTATAGGTTCCAACTCCCTCCTTAGATCCATCTCCACCCTTCCTTGATTATTAATGACCAACCAATCTCCTTCTCCCCCTCTGTAAAAAACTTAGGAATTACCATTGATCAAAACCTATCATGGAAACCCCATATTGCTCATATCTCCAGAAGGTCAATTGGTACACTTAAACTATTTCATCGTTCTTGTCAGCATCTACCACAACCTATCCGCAAGCTCCTCGTTTCCTCATTGATTTTCCCCTACTTTGACTATGGCTGTGTGGTATATGGTGGCCTCTCGTTGGAGCTTGAGGACAGACTGAAGAGAATCATGAACTGTTCTTTAAGATTTGTCTTCGGCACTTCGAGATGGTCTCATGTGTCCCACCTATATTCCGAGTCAAAGTGGCTCTTCCCCTCTTCCTGCCGCCTATACTTCCTTGGAAATTTCTTATATCAAACGATCAACTCCCAGCACCCTTCCTATATCTACTGTCTCCTCAAGCCGAAACCTTTAGTCCACTCAATAAAAACGAGATCCCGTGATTCTGACCTCTATATTCTATCACACAAGACAAAAACCTATGAACGTTCCTTCTTAGCCCGCTCCGTCACCTATTGGAATTCTTTGCCACATAACATCCGTCATGCCTCTTCACTGTCAACCTTCAAATACCTCCTTTTCCAATATCTCCTCACATCCCAAACAGACGATTTGCAACCATAAATTTCATTTTATGAACTGAATTTGTGAGAAGTAAATGGTGGTGCCTACAGTTTAAGTTTTAACATAAAACAGCAATGATTTTTTACTATTATTTTTACTATTTATTTGTATTTCTCTTCACCTCAGGTTGTGCTTTTTCTTTCATGTATATATAAGTTTATATTTTATACTTTTTGTCTCACTGTGTAGCAATATGAGTAAGTACGTATATATAGTTCCTTTTTTACCTTTATACCACAATTATTCCTGAGATTTTATTTTATCTTAGTGTTTGCTTATTATTTTATGAATCACTGTAAATATTATTACATTTTGTATTAAATTATGTTTCTATTAGATAGCTATTATTTATAAATTGTGCAGTTATGTATATATAGATATGTAATTTCTTTTCTGTCTTTTTCTTTTCTTTTTTTTTTTTATCGTAATAATAAGTAAATTTGGAGAAGATTGTATGTTCATTTATGTATGTATGTATATATATGTTTATGTGTGTGTATGTATATATATGTGCGTGTGTTTATATATGTGTATATATATATATTTTTTTTATTTCTTAGTGGTTACATACTACTTTTTAAATAATGTATATTACGTTAGAATTTTTTTAAGTTAGTTTTTGGCCGATTGGTATTTTATTTTGTATTAATTCATCTTTGTTATTCTAAGGGGACTTAGTCCCAGAATAAAGTTCTATTTTCTATTCTGTTCTATTCTACAGTGTGGCTAATGGAGATTCTAGCTCGTACTCTTCATATTACAAAGTAATGGTCCGAATCCATGTTAGCACTACGAAAGGTTCTGCTGCTAATGAGGTTTCATTTGTGGCGAGACAATATGAGCAGATGGTCAATTTTGTTGAATGTTTTACCATCCGGAGATTTACAAGTGTTTTTTGTGAATCCTTTTACCTGGGAATAAGTAACCAAATCCTTGGAGAAAGCAAAGTTGATTAACCTCTTTCCATTCTCATTGCTTTCTTCATGGAGGCTCTATTTCCCAATCATAGGGCGATATATTTCTTCCTGGCCAACCTTAGCTTTAAAGTCCCCTAGCATGGTTTTTACATCAATTCGAGGGCACCTGTTGAGCTCCCTCTCCTATGCATTGTAGAAATCTTCCTTTGGAGAGGGTGGTAAGTGAAAGTATATATATATATATATTTCGTTGAAATCAGTGATCTCGTGTCCAAAATCTGCCCTTGTTAGTTTAGGTTGTTTCTATATTATAAACTCTTCATTTTATGTTCATTACTATTATTCTTGAATATGTCTAGTTTTTCTTTATTAACTTGAAATAAAATTCTGTTTTTCATGTCATATTTCATATGCCATCTTGAAGTTACTCAAACATCTCATAATAGATATAATTTATTGTCTCAAAAATATTTTTTTAATGACTATAAAGAAATTTTTTTATCAGTACATTTTGTTCTTTAAGGTGGAGCTGGAGCAGGAAGTGGCAGTAGAACAACAGATACAAGTGGAAGTACCATAACACCTGAAATGGTGAGCGAGGCAATGCAGCGTGCGATGGCCAGTGTAGCACCTACCTCATCTTCTTTTTCTTCTTCCTCACTACAGGTATATGATAAAAAAAAATTAATACAAATATTTTATCATCTACCTGAGTAAATAGATGAGGTTTCTTTATTTTCTTTTTCTTCTCCTATTTTTCGCTTTCTAAATGAAACTGTCTATTAGTATTATGGTTGATACTAGTTGCTTGTTTAAGTTTTTTAGATTAGATTACTCTTCTTTTTTGGAATCTTTGTTTCTTAATCTGACATAAAGCTTATTAATACAAAAGAGTGTTTAATCAGTAAGTACTAGAAAGTATGTATTATCTACTAGGAAAGACTAACAATTTATTTTTGTTCCTAAAGATTAGGATATGTTCTAAAATATGTTTATGTATATATTGAATATAGTTTATACATAAATGTTGATTATAATTTATACTTAAACTCTCTTCGCTAAAAATCACATACAACGAGTTACTCAGACAATGAAGTACCAGAGAAGTTGACATCCAATTATGTATTTACAAGATTGATTTGGGACGCGTATTTAAGATTTATATAATAATGTCTTGTGAGAAAATGGACAATACGAAAAAAGGCAACGTTCACAATACACTAAAATATTATCACCCATAACTGTGGGAGAACTCTCATATTATTTATCTGGCCTCCTCCTTTTTAATATATTTGAACTATAAATGTTGTTAAGAAAATTTTTCTTTATAATATTCCTAACAGAAGTATCATAAAATATATATATATATATATATATATATATATATATATATATATATATATATATATATATATATATATTTATTATAATCAAGAAAATCTGTTTAACACAAATAATTTGTGAAGCATCATATTTTATTATAACTGTGTTGCTTACATAATAAGTAATTAACTTTCCTAAACTCCATCTTGTGTGCAAATTTTCAATGCTGGATCTATAAAAATCAATTAGTTTTTGAGCAAAATAAATATAGATGGCATTTTGGATATCATCCAAATTTGCAAATCTTTGGCCACTTAAAAGTGTTGAAGTGATCGGAATAAATGGAAATCTGAAGGTATAACATTGGGCTAGTATGGTGAGTGAGGCAGTACCTTCCACCCCAATTCATTAATTTGTTCCAGGATTCGTCTTGTGCAGTGCGGTCTTGCATTACCATGTTGCAGAATCATGCATTTTCTGTTGGCAATCCCTGTCCTCTTTTCAATTATAAATTGATTTACATGATTCAATTGTTCACTTTGAAGGTTAATAATTCACAATTTGTCCAAGGTTTCAGCACTTCAAAATAAACAGCTCTGAAAATACTCCACCAAACACACGAAAGGCCCTTTTCGGATGCAAACCTGGCTTAGCAGTACTTCATGGTGATTCATTTGAATAAAATCACTGCCTTTTGCATTTTGGATTATCCTAGAGGACTCATTTTTCATCTCCGGTGATCAAGTTATTATTAAAATACGCAACATCGTTGAATCAATAAGTTGCCTGTGGTAGTTTCCTATTCTGCTGAAAATGTTCTTTGATGGTTGACCAAGGCTAATTGAGACTGTTTGACAATGCTTCTAATGTCTGACACAGATTTGCTTCCACTTCGGCTCTTAACACATCATTGTCTAACGTTGTTGTTCTTCCTAATTTATACGAGTCGGAGAGATCAAAATCACCTTATTTGAACTTGGAAAACCACTTTTGACATTTATCTATGGCTAATACATTTGGATATGCGTCATAAATGTTTTTGGTTGAAACTGTTGCGTAATACCTTTGCAAAACTGAAAAAGTATGCAATTTCAGAGATTTATCTCTCTTAGTATTAGCCTGGTCATTTTACTCAATATTGCAAAACAATATTTTAAATTTAAATGTTTGCTGGGGTCAGGACCCAAAAACCGATCTAATCGCAGGCGAAGGTCTGAATGTAATGTTATTCTAAATAAAATGAATCTTGTCTGGCTTTCCAGAGCAGCTGCTTTCAAAAATATTGGCTGATTTAAAGAATATTAGGCAAGTAACTTGAAGATTGAAACGAAAAATATGTTGTGAAAAATGTGTGACAATTTTTTATTTTTTTACTTGTATACATAGGTTCAAAGATGTAAAAATCAAAATTTCTAGTGCCGACCACCAAAGGAAAACATTTTATAGCCAAAAAAAAAAAAAAAAAAATATTTATTAATCTTTTTTAAATTACTGGTGTAATATTCTTTAAAACAGTTGCCATTTTTGAAAGAAGTGTCTCTAGAATTTCAGACAAGGTTCATTTTACCTAAAATAACGTACACTTTCATAATTGAAACCTTCACATGTGATCAGGTCGATTTTTGGGTACTGCCTCCAGGGCTATTAGAATTTTTTTTCCATGACTAAATTGTACTCAATGAGCTGACAAATGACAATTAAATAGTGACCAACATAGAAACGACATTACTTTCTAGTCCCTGTAATACTTCAGACACCACAGGCTGTGATGTAAATAGAAGCCCCAAGGATATTTCTTTTAACATTTGTTGCTTGTATCTCTAAAATATTGTGTCTATCAAATTATCTAATATCTTAAGTAGAAATGCCAGTGGAATGATAAACCAATCATATTAAATTAATGAGAGAATGATATGAAATTAACTTTAAATGATTACATTATATTAATATTAATAAATATTATATATTTTATCTTAAAGTTTCTGAATGTATCATTTAAATTATATATATAATTTTTACTTTTTAATAAAATATAACATTTTTTTTTCATTCATGTATTTCACAGTTGTTAAAAATTGTTCTTATGATGAACCCATTAGACATAAATTGTCAAGAGTCTGCTAAATAATGTTACTTAAGTCAAAGTTTAAAGAATTTTTTTTATCTCATAATGGAAAAATAAAAATAATTTGAATCCTCCATTCTAATGTATGTTGTTATATTTAATATTATCTTTTGATATGTCATAATTTTATTCTTTGATGACAGGAGGGGAGAAGCAACTTGAGTCATGCAAACTTAAGGGAACAAATGCGTCAGATGCGTGAGTTAGGTCTGACAGACGATGCGGTGAATTTGCAGGCTCTGCAGTTGGCTGGAGGAAATGTCCACGCAGCTGTAGATTTAGTGTTTTCAGGTGCAATAACTGCTGATCAAACTTTGTAAAGATATTATATTGATTAGATGACTTTTTGTGTTAAATAAATTTTTGTGATAATCTTTGTGTGCTTTTCTTCTTAATTTTGACACCGTCCTGGTTGATTGTCGTGTGTTCTTTGGTTAATACACCTATATATTGCTTCATTTCACATCCTAACACCCCAAACTCCAAGGCCAAGTGGGCTATCCTCAGAAAACTGACCATCTTTAACACACCTCAAACTCAGTTCATTTCCTTTTTCTGCTGATGACCTTAATGCTCACTTTGTCTCATGTCCCTTCTCATCCTCCTGCTACCATACCGGCTCCTATGTATTCTCCTTTTAATTTTAATCCTGATCATTTCCCCTCCCCCCTCCCATATTATCCTTGATGACGTCCTCAACTTCATTCAGAAATCACATACCAATGATTATGTACCAGATAACATCCCAGTCAGATTGATCAAAGCCTCTCTACCATCCATTCCTCTACCATACCTATATACTTCTTCTTGGCGTTTAGACTAATCCTATTGTGGTTTGCCCAGGCACAAATTCCGTTTATATCTTCCTGTAATTTTTGGATGGCATCAGAGGATTTGGTCGGTTTGAAGAAGAGGTAAATCTGGACGTTGTCGGCATACAGATGGTATTGACAGTGTAGAATAGGGAATGGGAGGTCATTGATATAGATGGGGAAAAGGGTGGGAGATAAGGAGCCTTATGGGACACCTCTGGATAAGGGTAAAGATTCTTATGGGCGGTTATTGGGGTTATTCATGAAAAACTAAAAAAAATCTGATTTTGTATATTACATCACTAATAGACATCCAGGTTTTGGTGTCAATGGGTATTTTTGTATAATTGAAAAATCCTAAATAAATTCTGCACAATTTTAAACGAAGTGGCAAATTGTAGATGAGTGAATCAAAATTCCAAACTCACCTCCTAAAGAAAAGTGATGAGAAAACCTCCCTGAAACAAACACCCAGCCTTACTCCATTAAAAAATCAACTTTTAATCGCCTATTGCATGATATTACTTGATGTTCGGGTATCACATTCATAAGATATTCTAGCTGCAATTCAACTCCATGCATTTGCACTCTCTGCATGGAGTATAAAGCTTACTATTTATTAAGGAGTTGAAAACTTTACTGGTACATATTTACCTTAAATATCGTTAGTAATTTTTCTTCAAAATTGGAATAAATACTTCAGGCTTCCAATTCAACCCATAGTCCTTCTCCAGACACTTTTTGGCAACATTTAATAATTATAATTATTCATTCATGATTTTCTGTGTTTTATTAGCCTTACAATTATTACCATTTATAAATTAATAAATAAATTAATGTATCGCAATAATGAACAATACCTTCATGACTAGTAGTTAATATTAAGAACAATATTTCTTTCATTAAAAAAAAAAGAGAAGGAGTTGCAGAAATGCTTTTGGATATGCTATAAGTATACACTAGTTTTTACAGCAGTTTAATCAGTCTAATAACGATAAAGTAGCACTTTGAAAGTAGATAAAGTAATGCACTTCTTGATAATAACTATCTTGTGCCATGTATGCTTCAGAAAAAAGTTAAGCAATGCGTATTGTGGTTTATTATACCTGCAAAGACTCTGTCTAATGAACGATTGTATTATTAATACCATTGTGTTTTTTATCAGACGTGAGCTTAATTTTACACTTTATTATTTCAGATTATTATTTAAATGTTATGTTTGTTGACTGGGTTGTATATTGTATTGGTTTGTGAATAATTTTATACATGATAAGAAATTTTAATTCTAAAATGATCATAAACAGGTATTAAAACATAACTTATATTTTTTATTTACATATTGGAGTAAAGTAAAAATAAAAAAACATCTATAATTTAAAAATTTGTTGCAATATATACAATATTATTATTAATAATTTAACGAAATTTTAAATTTAATATCTATTAACTTATTGGTAAGAATGAATGTAGCCAATTTTTCATTGCATACATTTCCAAATATCATTTATTACATTTGGTTTGTGTTATTGCCCGATAAATGTCAGTGTCGGATTCTATGATTTAATTTGTACTTGAAGCCTACATTCCTTTCTCTTGCTTTGATAATGTCAGATCTGATATTTTATGCAGTAGGACAACACTGTTAGATCTGATGTCAGACCTTCTCTCAACACAAAATAATAAATAGTAACTACAAACATAAAATAACTATTGCCTGCTGACAAATAAAAAATTATATGCAATAAGTTTTATTTATTATTATTGATGTATTATATATAAGAAGTATTTATATAAACTTATGAAGAATCTAATAACAGATCTATAATAAGCAGATACACTTTCTTTGATCAAAACTTTTTCAATTCAGAGGCTATGAATAAATAGCACATGGAATTTTCTTTCAGCAGTACATTGAAGTAAAAAATTAATATTATGTATATTATTACATTATTTTTTCTTGTAAATTTAATTTTTGTTTAGATATAAAAACAAAATTCATCTGTGGATAATAAATTTTTATTGAACTGAGGGCTTGGAAGATGGGAGTTAATGAATCGGACTATGGTTGCATGAAAAGGCCCTTATGAGTGTTAAATCCGACTCTGACATTTAAGACATTATACATTGACACCATACGCGTATCCTCTTCAAACTCTAATTAAAGTTCATGAAGTATGTTGCCATCAAAGATTTAATTTTATTTCATAACCTATAAATATTAAACATAATTAGTGAAACATTATGCTGTTATCTAACATATTTCTAAAATATTTTACCACATGACCTATACACACTGTTGAATTTGTACTTTCTGAATTGGATAATAATGGGCAATTAATTTTTTTTGTGCTAAAATCCGATGCTTTGAGACAAAGTCCTATAGAAGCAGTTTCTATCTGTGGAACTGATGTTGTACAGGCTTCTTTGATGTCATGCAAGCCACTTTTGATCATGAAGCAGGGGCATTTTTCAAAATTAACTGACTTAGCTGTGACAGAAATAATTTCCTCCTCCTTTATAACTCCTTTAGCTGCAATACATTGACAGGCTATCGGTAAGCCTACAACATCATTTCCAACACTTAAACACTGACAATTTTTGGTGTAATTGTAGCAAACACAGTAATGAAATAATTGCTGCAATATTTCCATATTGCCCTGTTCACAGGCTATAGCGAATGGCGTGTAGCCCCAGTAATCTTCAGCAGTTATTTCAGCTCCTTTTTGAACTAATAAATTGACTATCTCCTTGTCATACTTTTCTACTGCACGATGAAGTGGCGTTTTGCCCATGCTATTGGTCAAATTAAATCGAGCACCATGCTCTATCAATAATCTAACTATTTCAGAATAACCACCTTCGACTGCTTCAAAGAGAGGAGTGGAACCATCACTAGCTTCTATTCCAGGTTTTTCCAGTTCTGCACCTTCCTTAATCAGCAACTGGACAATTTCTATTTGGCCGTTATGTGCTGCTTCGTGTAAAGGTGTATGTCCTTTTTTGGATCTTGAATTTTTAAAAGCACCATATTTTATCAACATGTCTGTTACTTTTTTGTAACCTTTCAAAGCTGAAATATGTAATGGTGACAATCCATCACAATCTTTTCTGTTTAATCCTGCTCCTTTACTTATTAGAACAAACACTAGATCTTCATAATTATAAAAAACTGCCCAATGAAGAGGTGTCCTTTTCATTTCGTCCATTGCATTCAGATCAGCCCCTTTAGCAATTAAATATTTTACTAAATCTATATGATCTCCAATCACAGCTTCGTGTAATGGAGTAGAGAGGTATGGCTTTGGCATACTTATGTTGGCATTAAAGAAATCGAGTAAAGTTGATAGTAAGTCAAAGTAACCATTTCTTGCTGCATCAAGCAACGGTGTTCTTCCTTCTATAGTTTTGGTATTAGTTGCTGCACCATTTTTTATCAAAATTTTCACAGCTTCTGTGTGACCATTCTGAACAGCTAAATGCAATGGAGTATAATCCCATTTGTCTTTAGTGTTTATACTGGCACCATTTACTAACAAGAGCATTATTATTCCACTGTAACCATTGGATGCTGACCAGTGAAGAGGAGTTCTCTTGAATGTCCCTGCTGAGCTAGCATTCATTCCAGAGGACAAGAGGTAGGCCACTTCCTGTTCTCTTCCTAGTCTAGCTGCACGCTGAAGGGGAGAATCTTCTATAATACTGCTATCATTGAAATCAGGTTGAAGTGATAATTTTATATGTTTGAATTTCTTGTGAGTAATGGGAATGCAGATCATTGAACGCTGGTTATTAGTTTTCAATCGAGGTGGTATTTGGTGTTGGTAAGTCAACATGGCATCCATTTGAACTTCATAAGCCGATGATATGTTTCCACTATTATTATATGTTGAGTTATATTTAAAATCATCAAGACTGCTATAGTCATCTGTGATCTGAAAAAAAAGTATTAAAGATTTTAAAATAAACTAGAACATAACTAATATTTTGGTTTAATGATTATAATACTTAGTAAGATAATACGTAAAGAGTAAGATTTTTTGTATAGCTGAATTATATTGGCTGATTACTAGGTCACTTACTTTTAAACTTTAAAAGAGGAATTTATTCACACATATTACATTTACGAAGTATGGAAAAGGAAACTAGATAGTTTAATATCAATTGAAGTGTTCAGTAAACTCAGTCGTGGCAGACAGAAATTAATAAAATTAAGAGAGATTTTTAATCAGATTGTAACTTGAACATGCCAGCCATAATAAAACAATTATGAATACAACTGTGACTACTAAGAAGGGATATTAGACAAGGAACTGCCTGAAGGACTAATGATTAATGAGTCCCATATCAACCTATTTTTTCTTAAAGCAGTCTTTGGCTTTTGAATGATGATATTTTCAAACCTTTGTTTGGAAAAACGGATGAAAAAGACAACACTGGAAGGAATCAAAATTTCTTTTATATAATATATATATATATATATATATATAAACCCATGAAGGGCCCATGTGAGTACTATGTTAGGAATTACTGTTTCTAGGTCGATTGTTGTGCAAGAAGCTGATATGAACGAGACCACGCTCAACTACAAGGTTTTTCCCCTTAATAAATTAAGAATTCTCACTTTATAGAAGCCCTTTACAGAGCTATACGCCATTAGGGTTTCTTGACCCCAGTGTCAATCCGCGGGTGATGTAACCGAATAAATAATTATCTACCTTAGAGAAATGTACTAACAAGTTGGTCCTCATCATAGAGTAAATTACAAGTTGATAAATCTTAGTACGGGAGAGCTTTTATCTGCTTTGATGAAGATATGGTTGGATTCTGTCATTGTAGCTTTTTCATGATAGAAAAATCAAAAAGCATTCTTAATCCTTCCATAAGATACAGAAATAATGAAAAGTCAAGAGAAGTATCAGCCAAGTAAAGGGAAAATAGAGAAATTTATAAATGTATTCCTTTCCTTAAGAAAAAATTCCTTGAGAGATACTTCCAAATGAAAGGCCTTTTGTTTCGGAGCTCATGTAACTACTAAATCGATTACAATTAGGAACTTCTTGGAGGATCTTGATTTTGTTATTAAGGATGTAAATACTTAATAAAAAAGCTTAAATTATAGTTAAATATCTTAATTTATTTTACTTATTAAATAGATTTTAATTTAGACTTATTTATAACTGTTATCTGGATATAATTCATGGAGAGGTCTATAGGAGTTAACAAAAAGAAAGTATTTAAAAAATAATAATATACTTAGATAGGAATATTAAAAAATAAAAAATAAAACATTTCTAATATCTACTATGGATATATTGAAACTATTCTATATATTAATTATATGTTCTGATTTTTTTTCTAATCCTGCTTTATTGAACTTTATTAAAACAAATTACAATATATAAGTATACAATATACAAATATATTTCTTCTTGCTTGGCCATGTACCTCTCTTAAGCAATGATATATGTTCTGAAAATGATTTTATAAGTTCTAAAATATTCTCTGTAGCAACCTTTCAATTAGGAAGCATGTATTTGTTAAAGTACTTTGAGAGACTTTAAAATGGAAGGCATTCTGTTTTGAAGCTCGTGGAACTAAATCGAATACAATTACGAACTTCATGGAGGATGTAAATGTAACTATATAGTTTCTATTTACTTGTTAACTGCTTAGAATATCACTGAATTTGACAAATTCTAGAATTTTTATTTTATAGTTGCTACTAGTTTATGATTAACAGTGTTGTAATTCATAACTCTTACAAATATAATGTTTCATAAAATTCCACAGATTTGAAATCTTGTTTATCTGGTATCCTAAGTTTATCCAAATTGAATATTGGTGTATAGTAGAGTATCAATTATCTGGATGTTAAACAACATTATTCAAACTAATTTTTGATATTGTTGATTTATTTCATTTAGTTATTACTATTAATATTTTTTATAAAATCAAGGTCAATTTGAAACATTTCTCACAATTGAAATATTAGACCGATTTTGATAAACTAAAACTTTTTATCCATATCATTTTTACAGGTTGCAATTTCTCAACTAGTTAATGCTTATTTAAATTGTTTATTGATATAACAATTTTATAACAAATCATCTATACCATAGTAAAATAAACGGAGGTTTATATGTAAATTAAGTGTCATGATTAAAATTAATAATCTTTTAATTTCACTGTTGTTGAAGAAAAGATTCCAAATTTGGGTTCTTTGAATTTAAAAGGTGGATCCATGTTGTTTCTTGTTATGATAATTATTTTCCGTTATCCTTTGATGTTCCTAGAAGTTGTTCAATTCACTTTCTATATTTTTGTTTTCTCAGTCTGTGTTTAAATATTGAATAAGACACAGAGGAATTTTGTATCACTTTTCAAGTATCATTACATACAGCTGTCAATATTATAATACTTAAGCATTTAAATAAAAATATATTATTTATGTTCTGTGCTTATTTATGTTTATAGTTAATAAAATTGTCCTTTACGGATAATCCAGTCGATTACCCAAATTTCATTATTCAGGTGAGGGCTGGCATTGATTAATCCAAATAATCATTGCTCTATGTTCATCATATAATAATTAAAAATAATTTACAATAAAAAATATATAAAATAATAGGTGTTTTTGGAGTATTTTACTTACAACTAACTGTATCCAATTACTCTGAAGAAGAATGAATATTATACCAATAAACATTGTTTCTTCTTCTGCGTCTCAAGAAGGAAAGACCTAAAGAATTTATAAAAATGACAAATTTTATGTATATACTTTTTCCCTTTGAATTTAATTCACTATTAAATATTTCAAATAATTGGCACTCTGGATACATTCAATATTGCTCATTTAAAAATAATATTTATTGAGATATATGTGTTTCTAAAGAAATGAACTTGAGAACTACTTATTATAGATTCAGCGACCTAAGTGTTATCCTGTAGGGTCTATAAATAGAGGAGTGAGGGAGATCATAAGTGATAATTGGTTTGTCTACTCACGATGGATGGACCTTCAGTCTTACACTGCCTCAATAGACCATGCCTAGGAAGCTTGAATAGACTTCACACCAAAATAGTATGGGCACAGTTTTTAGTTCTTATTCGGACCATATAATAAGAGAGAAATATTTGAAAATTAAAATAATTCGATTATAAGTTTAAATGTGATTTATTTTAAATATTATTAATTTAAGTGAATAGAAAATTAGTTTTCATCGAATTGAATCATTAATAAACTTATATTTTACTTTTTCTTGGGGTTTTTAAAAAACCGTTTACCTAAATTGATTAGTAATATTTTCTTTTTCCTTTCTATGAAATATCGAATATTCACACCTAGATTCATATAAATATTTTTAATCGTAACTTACTTTGAATACTTCTTCCAATTTAAAAAAAAAAATTATTTATTGTATTATTTTAAAGTTTTTTATATGTAATAGTTTTCTCTTTAAATGTAAAAGTACTTTAAATATTTTTCTTATATTTTAATATAAGATAAAATTTTTCAAATTGTTATTCAAATATATTTGTTTGATAACTCAACAGTCAACTGTTTCAAACTGTTTTCATTGTGAACTTATACAATCCATCACATTTAATTTATATAAACAATATTGATAAGTAAATCCATTCATACCATATTTACTGCCAAAATAATATAAATAGCCCAAATCCAATTAAAAGTAAAACAAACAAAAAATCTTAATGACAACCATAATTATTACCAATGTTTATAACCATTCTGCAGAATCCACAAGTTTCTCAACTTTCAAATCAAAGAACAGGAGCATCCAAACTTTTTGACATTGAGACCTTGATTAAGTTCCACAGGCCGCGTTGTGATCTTCACCTAAGTTCCATGGTTTGTGATGAAAAAAATATGTAATTCTATGAATGATACTTCAATCATGAAATGAACTTCCTAAGAGAAAAAAAAAACCATGCGACAAATGTAGTAATCTCGTGTGTGAAAAATTGGCAAAATTTTATTTTTTAAATAGTTTCTCAAATTTTACTATCTAATCAAAGAAACTTTCTGGATTGAAGGAGCTTGCAGGCTCAACCCACGGTCCTTAGTTTGGAGACCTATGCTCTAGAAGATTAGATCTAGAAATCAGAACAGCACTTTTCACTCAACCACACCACTGCTATAGAAATGCAGCATTTATAAAGTAAGGACTTAAATATTCATTTTTATTTTAACTTATATCATGATCAGATTGAACTATGAAAAAAAAACTAAAATGATAAGATATATTTATTTGAAATATTATACAGCCTTATTTCAGTATGTAATTTCCAAGTAAAACATATTACCTATATGAAATATAATTTTAAGATGGCTACTTTATTCTCTATGCATGACGATTTCTTGAAATATCAACAAATCATCCTTTTATCATTAACACAAGTATAAAGAGTAGCCACAAAAGGGAATATTTCAAAAATAGATATCAAAATTATACCAACAGTCTAATATTTGAAAAATAATATTATATATGTTAGTTAAACAAAACATTTTTCTTTGTTTTATTTTCATTACAATATTAATAATTTCTTCAAAATAGTAGTCTTTTTAATATAATAAACAGATCAAATGTTAGTTTAGAGATAATAGTACTAGCCAATTAATTAATAAATGAAGTATAATAAAATCAATCACGTATTGTGAAGTTTAAATCAATTCAGTATTATTTTATGTGATGCAGAAAACACCAATTTCAAACAATATTTTGACAAAAAACATTCACTTGATGAAGATATTCAATAACAGTTAAAGTACTTTTTAACAATATAGCATACCGAAGGTGCAAAAGTTTAATAAAAATAAAACAAAGGAGTACACAAATTTAATTATGTCATAACTACTTATAACAGTAAGAGTTCATAACTATGAGGATGAAAAATATCTAAAAATTATTTGTTAAAAAAATTAATTATAAATGAAGGATTGTCATAAATTGTTATTATTGATAAAATGAAATTCTGTTAAATAAAGATATACTAAAATGTAATTATTGTTATATTTATTGTTTCCTTATTCCTTAAATATTTAAAAAAATAAAAAATGACTGAAATAGATATTTAAATTATATACTGAAAAACAAAAATTATTAATTGAATAAAATTAAACCTAATAATGTTGTTAAGATCTCATAAATTATTGCGTGTGTTCACTGCTCTTACATCTTGTGTTTGTTTAATCTACAAGAGGATAAAAAAACTATAACACATATATCATAATTATAATAGTTACAAATAATAAAATGAAAATTATTGTAATTATTTTAACTAATGAATAATTTAAGTGAATCTTTTAATTAATAATATATTAATAACTTTACAAATTAACAACAACCTTCTTCAGTTGTTTTATCAATATTTTTTTCTATCATATGCATGTTAAAAAATTAAAAACAATCTTATAAGTTACAAGAGAAATTAATATCTTTATTATTATACATCTAAGATTGGTATAATAAAAAACATATATATATGATTTTTAAAATTAGAAGTTGGTAAGTCTAATATATTTTTATTACATCAAGAAACAATATATTGCATATATATAGCTATAGCTATCAATATATCATACATGAAAATATATTTATTATGTATACATGTACTATCATAGTTCAATGTTATATCTTTAACGGTGATCTTTCCAATGTTAGAAGAGCTTTTATTGAAAAATTTTACAAAGTATTGAGTGCACTTAAAAAATGTTATCAGTTAAAAAAAATTAAACCAATGTCAATATTTATCTAAGAGACTTTATACATAATAGTTTATTCTTATTTACCTTTATATTAAAATATAGTTATTATCAAAATAACTTCTAAGTACAATGATTGTCCATCTAAAACATTAACACATTTTTTAAAAAATATTTCTTATTACAATTAATGAGTCATTAGCATCCTTAAAAATAGTAACAATTAATTATTTACAGTTCAAGTAACAATAAATAAAACACATATAAATATAATTTAGAGAGTTGATAGAAAACTAACAAAATGAATTTACTTTACAAACACTTTTTTATTTTTATTAACTTTTATATTATGGAGTCTCTGTACTTTGAATAGTTGTTTGTGTATAATGTTCAGTTTTTTTCATTAATTTAACTGCATTAATTGAATTTAGAATACTTCTGTTATAATGAATAATTTTTGTGTAGCAGAAGAGACCATTAATTCACCATGTGATAGGATTCTCTATTTATTTGAAAAGATCCATGGCAAAGAAATAAATTAAATTACTTTGAGGAACTGATACATTTTGGACAATTCTAGCAGACTTGCTTTATATAGTGTGCAGCAACATAACATTCTTTTGTCAAAACAAAATAAAACCAATTTGTCTTAATCAGATTTTTTAAAATTTATTGTTTATAATGTAGGTAAATATCTAAATTTTTGTTTCACACAGTTTTGAAGATCATATCAGATAGGTGATAGTAAATCTCGATGGCAAAGGATTGCTCCTCTCTGTTCCAATGCATGATGGCGATTGACTGAGGTATGGACAGAAACTTGGGACCACGTCTATCGACTGATTCTCTTCATGCAATAGCCTAAATGGTGCACATTTTAAATAAGGAAGTTATGTTACAGCACCCTATACAATTCCATTTCATCATGCAATAAATGCGTATTACTTTAGAAATTGCACACTTCTTGGTTTATAATTTTCTTGATTTTGGTAACTGGGGCTTGTTATGGATTTTATTGGTCTTTTTCTGCTTGAGCAAAGTTATTTGGCTAGTAAAGGATGGCTACTGTTCTTTTGCTTCTCAATTTATTTTTAATGGGATTAAAATTCTGTACAGAAGAGATAAACTATTAAAACTATTATTTGGTTCTTAAAATATAAACAAAAAAATACGAGACGTAAATTTGTTTTCTTTAAACATCAACATAAATTACAACACAACGAAGTTCAAGCATGGACTTATTGATAAAATTGTAATAAAATTAATAATTATTATATTTGAAAAGCATGAACATAATGAAAACAAAACAGACAGTTAAGTCACACTAAACAATAAATTATATATGATTTCAAATCCAAAATTTCTAATTAAATCAAATCTTTAAAATAAGGTGAAGAATTTTTATTTACTCTGACATACTTCTCAAGTTTCTAATCAGAATAAGCATTTAAAAAAATAATCTGTTTTAGCATAGCATTTTGGAAAAGTGTGTTATATAAAGGAATATTTGAAAATAAAAAAAATAAATAATGAAAATATTCAATTATATTTTCTTTTTTAGACTACATTTCTTTGCCATTACGGCTTGAACAGAAGTGGTATTGAGAAACAAAAGTGAAATAAGGTTCAAGAGTACTATGCTTGAAAGATCTTTTCAACCAACTCAAATTAAAAATCATGGTTAACAGGTTAAAACAATACTTGATTATTTTATTAATTCTATTTTGACTAATAGCTATAAAAATAATATTTATTATTTCTGTTGGAGAAATATCTTTTTCCAGTGAAGTACTGAGCCAGTTAACAAGAGGAAGATAATATTTGAAAGAGATTTTTTATTTAGAATGTGTAAGGGCCTCTGAAATTGTAGACACTACCAGTGTACAATTTAAAATATTAAAAAACATAATTTTTATAAACAATTTAAAATACATTACTGTTTTGGAAAATGTACAAATCTAATAATGAAATAATTTTTGTGCTGCTATGTTAACAATTGCTTTTGAGATGGGATGCCACCAGAATTGTAATAATTCTGACAAATATGTCATATGAATTCAAACAATTGCAATTTCCAATGTGATTTGTATTTGTAATGACCAGCAACAAAGCACAGGAACAATCAATATAATTGTGTGAACTAAATTTTGAAAGTTCATAGTTTGCACAGTCACATGTATGCAGCCAACTGACACATTGGAAAACCTTATGATTTCTTTGTGTATGCAATAGATAGAGAAAAAAATATTGTGCCTCTAAAATCTTTTTGGACAGCATTAAACGATAAACCCTTTCTTTCAGTGACATAACTACAAATGCTGGGTGCTCATACTAAGTATATGAACACATTTAGTTAAAGACAGTCAACATATTCTTGGACAATAGCTAGTTATTTCAATTTTGTTGTAATTTTCATTTATTTGATAATAGAAGATCTTGGTTTTCAAGACTTAAATATAAAGTCTAACATAGAATAAAATAAAAGTAAAATTACACTTTATGCTGAAGGAGTTAAATGTACACTACAATGACAAGGGACACATGACTATTGACAATTATTTCTATCATACAACACCAACATGCATATTCACATCACAATATGAAAATATAAACACAAACACATATAGTAATATAAATATTTTAAAATATATAGATTGTTTGTTAATAATAATTGCATTGTTGCATATTTGTATTTCTTGAATAATAAATAATAAAGAAATATTTTTTTTTAATTATTCAAGGCAATATTACAACAGGGACATGTAAGCCATCTTCTTCAGAACACGGGAGCTTAGATGAGCTATTGTAGTTTTTCAATATACTTCATTGAATTCAAGAGATGGGACATGTATTTAGGTTGAAACATTGGCTTACATAATCAAATTATAAAAATTGTAAACTCATTTCCTGATTATTTATTACCCACAATATAGCTTCGTAGAGTCAACTACCTATTATTTTTAACATTTGTTTTTAGATTAGAAAAAAACGGTTTAAAAAATACATTAATGAACAGAGAAAAACTATTTATAACAATAAATAATTGAAATGAAAATTTCTTAGTAATCATCTGATAATAGCCAATTTCATTATTGTTGATCAAATAATTCTAAAAACAAAAATATATTTGTTTTATAGAAAAGGAAAGTTAAAAAAAAAAAAAATTAAATTTTAAAAAAATATGTATAATGAAGAAGTAAAAATTTTATAAATATTAATTGGAAGGCAATGATGGTCAAGCATATTTATAATTAAATAAGTTATGAATAAAAATAACCGACTTTCTGATCCCTGGATTTGTCATAATAAAATTAACAATCATTAAAAAAGAAAATCACATTGTTATTTAGTTTTATGGTTAACATCCAAATTTAAATCTAGAAGAAATTGCAGGTATTGTTGACATGTAAAGTTTACCCTTTTAACCTTAATCTATAAGTTAAATACTTTGAAAGTGCATTTAATAATCAATAAAGTTCAATTAAAGTCATTATGAAATTTTTTTCAACTTTCATTATATTAAAATCATGAAAATAATTATTTTTTTTGGAGGAAAAAAATTCATAAATCTTTATTTTTCACAATAGCAGATTATCATTATTATTTAAGGTGATTAAATTTCTCTAAGTATATGTGTATAGATACTCTTCATATTAAAAAATAAATAAATAAATTCATAAAATATAGACATGTTTTAAACAGAATATGGTGGTTTTTAATTAAATTTTATTTTTGTAAATATGATAAGTTTTCAAAAATTTAGACTGCTGCTTAAAATTAGATTTTTAGTTATTCCTCCAAAAAACAGTCACTCATTTATCAGTTTCATTTACAGTTACACATTTCTCATGTGTAATTGATAAATAAAGAATGGAGAGTTCAAAACAAGTATAAATAATATTGCAAAGGATATTGCATTGAAAACATTTAAAATTATAATATAATAGACATACGGCATATTTACATGGGGTACCGTGCATTACCATTTAAAATGTTTAATAAACTATTAATCTTGCTATTTGCGTAAACATTATTAGTAATATTGCACAGTAAAATCACTAAGCACATCTTTAAAATGCTGAGAAAAATTTTTTCTTTTTTTGGAATTTTTTGAAATGTGAAAAAATATAAAATCTTTTTTTTGTCATTAGTAGACATTTAAATCACATTAGGCCATAAAAACTTAACAACCTCATTGTATGTTTTTAAATTAATAGAAAATATAACATTGACTGGTAATAATTTTTTAATAACTAACATTAGAAACTTATATAGGTATCACACAATTAATTGCTAAATAAAATATTATTAAATATATAATACTAATTAAAATCACAGATTGTTGTTAATTTAAAAACGGTCATACTACCACTATTTTGTAAATTTTATAATTTATATAAAACAAAATTTCAAATAATTTTGTTAGCATTTCAATAATAGACAATTAGAAAGTCTGAGTATTTACTATATTCTATTTTGGATTAGGGATGTCCAACTTCTTTATATTTTTAGAACTGACTTTAATCTTCTTCAAAATGTCATAAATATCAAATTATGATATTTAAATTGTAGAACTGGTGGAGATCATTGGAACTAGTAAGTGACAATAGGGGAGTTGTTATTAAAACAATATGATAGTCAGTATTTATTAAATAAAGAGTAGTCATTAAATCATACAATTTAAACTTTATTTTGTTATTAATGGTAAGTTTGCGTTTGCTTTTCTTCGACCAGTCATTATTTTTTGTATATACAAACAATAATAATGACAACAATTTTTTTATAAAATATCAATTTTGAGACTTATAGAGTAAAAATCATTTGTAATTACATCAAGAACTTGGCTGAGCTTGAATGTTTAAATTGCTTCCTATTTGCTGAGATTGATCTGCTTGTCATCCATTCCATATTATGAAGAATATAGTATTGAGCTGTGCTGAAGTTACATTTTTGGGTTTGTTTAAACTGCAATGTGGCATTGCCACATAAGATGAGTATTGTGATGCCACAAACCAACCGTGATATAACAGAGGCAATATTTATAATGTAATTTATAAATGATATGGAACCATAGCAATAATAACATAAAACAAATTGGTAGTATGAACCGCTGAAAATCACATTATTAACTCAAAAATTACAGTTAAAAATAAGAAATAAAGTTAATGTCAAATCATCATAAAAATTGATATTTTTATTGTTAAATGATTAAAATAATGATCTTAATGATAGAGGAAATTAGGATTTTGGCTCGTTATTAAACCACAGCTCAGAATTAGGGCTAAGGCTTCCTCCTCTTTTTTCATCTTTATTCCTCTCTCTTGTTTCCTCAAGAGAGCGACTCTTAGTCTCACCTTTTGTAACAACAAGGTAATCTCGCTTCTTCAAATCACCCAAGCTCGATGTTGGAACTATCCTGTGAGGAAAGCGAGGAGAGCCTTTTGGTTTCTCCCTGTAAGGGAGAATAGGTTGAGAATGTTGATGCTGAATTGAAAATGAAACTCTCGGCTGCGAAAGACTTTGATAAGACCTAGCTTGACGCCTTCCCCTGTCTTCATCTCTGATCTCTTCCCTGGGAGGGTAGCCTGAAAATGGTTCAATTTGGATTAATGAATTAATAAAACAAATATTTTGAGTATTTTCACTTTGGAGTATAATTATAAAAAATCTGGAGCGCGCAACATGCAACTTTCACTTACCGCTCTACTTAGTATAGAAATTATTTTCTGGCAATGCTGGGCTATTATAAAATTAAAAAGTGCATTTTAAACGGAGCTAAAGCCTTAAGCTTACAGATAACAAATCATTAAGACCATTAAAACTACACAAAGTCTATTTATTATATCGACAATAGGCAATAAAAATCTAATTACTCCATCTGCTTTTGTAAACCACACAACTTCAGGCTCTGAGCCTTTCAGTTGACAGAACTCCAATTTCAACATTTTTGAGTAATGTCATTTTAGTGGTATTTCTAGTTTAAAAAGTTATATCTATACAGACAGTGAGTAAGTTGATTTCAAAGTAGGTGATTGCAGTGTTTAAATATAGAACTTTGAATAAATGTATAAATTTTGCCACTAGAAACATCACAAAAATTATTCATAAAGAATGTTGAAATAGGGGTTAGTCAGTTTGTCAACCGAAGGCTCATATATGGCTAGGGAGGTTTGAAAATAGAATCTGAATATTTAACCTATTAATAATTATGGATTGTAGGATTACTAGTTATTAAACAGTTATTTTCCATTGTAAAGTTTACTAAAATGCCTGCCATGGATAGGTCAAAAGTTATCACACTAATTGTAAGATGAAAATATTGGGATTTCACAAAGGAAAATTCATCAAATTATTCACTAATTTAATTTTCTAAAAGGCTACTTGATGATTTTTTGGGATGAATGGCCGGTAGATAACTAATTATTTAAATATAATATGATATCTAGCATTATTAAACTACAGTAAATGTATTTAAGGTTATAAACATATCCATGAAATATTTTTATATTTCACTTCTTCTTTCACACAAGTACAATGAGATAGTATTTTAAACAATGGCTTGATTTGGTGGATTTTAAATAACTTTTTTTAAAACTTAGAAAAACATTTAAAAATTTACATATAGTAAGAAAATTTCATTTAATTTCCTTCCATGGAAACATGTGATTTACTTCAAATAATGTTAGTTTTCTGAAATTATTATTTATATTTTTTTCATCATTCTCCTTTACCTTCTACAATTTTCTATATTAGATATTGTTTTTTTTTTTTTAAATTCTTGGCTTTCCAACGATATATTATATGTATACCTTCTGACTGGTATTTCCGGAGGTTCATTTTTGACCTGGATAAGCATTTTTATTTTTTTCTCCTTTATTCAATTATCAAATTCTTTTAAGTTAAATTTAGCATTTTTTCATAACTCTGAATAACTTGAGATGATTAATTTTTTAAAATCAACAATATTAAAGGTACTTTAGAGGAAGACGCATATGAACATTGGACATTTAAGTCCTGTAAAGTGACATCAATGGAGAAAAAAACCTAAACGATATTAAAGACCACTTAATTATACAATGATACACTGAGTTTAATCAAAATCGTTTCAGCCGTTTTTGAGAAAATGTGTTTCAAAGTTGACATAAAGTGGGCACTTCTGGTTAGCCAATTTTAAGGAAAAAGTCGCTGCCACATCTAAGGCATATACCTATCTTAAATACGTAATTTCAGATTCTTACAACTTTTCGTTTTTGAGCTAGATTGTTCACATACACACAGACCATTTTGCAGTACTTAGTTATTTGGACTCAGGAGAGCTCAAAACGTGTATTTCTGTTAAAAACTCAGATTAAAAAATGTTTACGATCGCAATACTTTCCCTTACTATATATCACATATATTGGTAAGTGAAAGTAAAAACAATTAATCTTTTCTTCTTTAATAAACTGATATATATTTTTAAATAATTGTTTGGGATTTATATTTATTTATTTTTCACCTTCCCATGAGGCAATGCTGGTATATGCAGCATGTTAACCAAGAATTTATAGATATTACACCACTTTTAACATCCAGTGCTGTTTGTTTATCTTGGCCTACATTTACAAATTAATTAATAAGGGGTTATATTTGATTACCCAAAGAGAATTTCCTTTCTCTAATGTCATAGTCATCATCAATGTTTAAATATGGAGCTCGATTAATCCCTGTGTGGCTGGTGTTGCATGAAGACTCTAAACTTCCAGAATTATTTCCTGGAACAAAGCCTGCAAAGTATTCCATATGTGCTCTCAATGCAGAAGCAAGGCCAGCTGGAGCTGAAGACTTTCTCACTGATGGTGTAATCATATTCAAAAATCTAAAAAATAAATTTTAAAAATCATATTATCTATGGTTAATAAAAATTAATTAAAAATGAAATAATTTTCCCATAACAAAAATAAATCAATTCTGCAACCATTAGTTTAATTGTCCATATTTCACATCCATAAAGAATCAATGAGCGGATAATAAATATGTAAACCCTAATTTTTAAGTTTTGAGACAGGAGATGTGAACTAATTAGTTTTGCTTCCTCTTCAATTTTGTTGTTTCTAGCCATCATTGACACTAAATACCTAAACTTGTTCAAATCTATTTTCTTCTATATCTATGTCACCGAATTTGCTACTGATATTTCAGCTAACTATTGTATATATTTTGTCTTGTCCATATTTATTTTTAGCTCCAGTTCATAACTGGCTTTCATTAACCTTGTATTTAATTAATAACTCATTATTATATTGGATTTAAGACTTCTCAGTGTCATAAAAAGGTGTACTTTTTAAAAACCAATTCTGAAAAACTACAAAAAATTGTTTTGAAAAAGCTTGGAGTTATGGCCTTTTAACTTATGAGGACAGATTAATAATTTTAAAATCCTTGATTTTTTTAAATTATGAAAAATAAAATATGAATAAATAGATGAAAAAAGTTAAGATCATATGAAGATAATAAACTTAATAATTGATTTAGAAGAAACACTGCATCAAAATAAAGCAATAAGGTACTGAAAATGGAGAAAATGTTGAATAAACTATTTAACGTGGATTTATAAATACATTTAAAGAAAGATAAACTGTTCATTATCACCTACTAAAAATATTGAAGACTAAGAAAAAAATAGAAAAGTTTAATAATCCCCACATATATTATTACAATAAGGCTCGAAATTGGTTTTGTACCAAATGTAAGCTCCTGCCATGCTCAAATACCAAATGGGGTACCGTTGGATTCAGAATTTCACGGGAGGTTAGCGAATCGTATTCTCCACTTTTGTTTTTCTTTCTAAAATAAATAATGTCGATACAAATATTTTGCTAGGCTTCAATAGTGGAACGGTGGTAGGCCTGTAGATCGATACGGGACAAATCGGATCTTGAAGATTTTGATGTGCACACCAAGACCCGGATAGTTCCTCCGGAACAATCGGATCCTGCGTTTTTAAGCCCAAAAACATACTATTTTCGAGACAACGCAAGGCATAGGGTTCGCAAGACATCCACAAAACCTTACGTTAACTGTAGTACTGTCATTGAATACATGTCTCATTTCGTCGACTTGAGGTCTCTATGATCGAGACAGGAGGAGTTTATATTATTTTTCACTCCGATTACACACCGATACACCGATTTTTGACCGAATCTAAAGATTGAGCCACCAATTTTGAAGGTTTCCTTCTCCTTCAGGCGGGCAAAGTAGTCCAATCACCCCGAAAATTCAGGCAAACAAGTTATGAAAGATAACAATCTTTATTTGCGAATAAATAAAAAATTACTCACTTTTCCCTTGGTTATGCACATGATCATATAAAAAATTACTAAATTCTCTACAAAAGAAAAAAAAAAAACACTTTGAAATCGGACTATTTTTAACAAAGATACAGCTTACTGAAATTTGTGAACATGTTGGTTCTTTGTCGATTATATTTATCGATAAAGTAACATTTGATTTCTTTATCTTTTGATACCATGCATTATTTTATTTTCTTATTAATTTGGCATTTGATAACAATATTCTGTGCGAATTTTTCGCACGGGCCTACTAGTAATAATAATAACAATAAGGCTTAACAAACCCCAATGTTTGATTTAGATACCACCAATAAATGTCTATACATTCTTCCATCCTTTGGGAGCTATCTAAACCCAACCCCACCAGGTCAGCCTTAATGCAATCTTCTCACCTTCACTTCGGATGCTTACCAATCGGCAGAGCGCATATTAACTATTTAGGAATTCTTTAGCTACTATGCCTAGCGATTTTACCTGCTAGTTCATCTCAATTATATTAACCAGGTGATTCACAGTTAATTAATTACAGTTCACGTGATTCAGTGTTGTGTAACCACCTAAATTCTCTAGTTGGCTCATCCTTCTTCGCTCCAAATATTTTATGCAATATATTATATTCTGGTATAAGGAGTGCATCATGGAAAGAAGGAGGGAATATTTTAAAGGCCTGTTAGAGGAGAGAAACCTTGAGGAGTGAGAAACCCTGAACGATGCAGAGGAGATTTGGGATGAGGAAGACTACATCAGTGAAGAACTCCAAGATTCAATTGGAAAGACAAGACTAGGCAAGGCAGCTGGACTCGATAAAATTACCCCGGAAATGATTAAGTACATGGGCAGCAAAGGCCAAGAGATCTTCCTCCGTCTTTTAAATCTGTGCTGGAAGAAAAAGATTCCTAGAAACTGGGAAGTAGCGGTGATTATGCCCATCCACAAAAAGTGGGACAATCGGAAGTGCAGCAATCATAGGGGAACATCCCTTTTCAGTGTGCCTGCGAGGATCATAAGGATCATAATAGGATACCACCCCCCCCCCCCCTAACAACATCTCTAAACTTCCCCTACTCCCTCCGACCCCCCCCCCCCGCTCGCCCGAGGATCATAATAGGGAGGATCATAATAGGAATAGGATAATAACCAATTCTAAATTTATTGAGTGTTTCAGACATACCCATCCTAACTTCTACTGTTGTTCACCCATTATTTCAAGGTATAAAGTTGTTAATTTTGGATTGCATAAGATGTCTGATGAAATTGCATCAGCAATGGAGCAGGAAATGGTGGAAGAACAGGCTATAAAGTGCCCAAGGCCTTCAGCAAAGAGGCAAAGGAAAAGATCTCCTGACGCCCGAGAAGAAACAGATAAAGAACGTGTAGACGATAGTCTTCTGCAAGACGCACGTAGAATCAAAGAAAACATCAGGGTCTACATGAACGCAACAGACAGGAACATGAGTGCGAAGGTACAAAAGCACGTTGATGGGAAAATTCAACAGTTAATAGATATAATGGAGACAATATATGATAAAAACTATGAAAAAACGTTTTAAGTACAACGTGTGGTAAAGGACACATTAGCATCCTCTGAAATGTATGATATCATAGTAAATGCATTAGTGGAAAAAGCAGTATCTATGGTTATCGAGGGAATCAAGACGGAAAGTAAAACCATACAAAGACCACTGTCAGAAGCTCAGACATCTCGGGAGTTTCCATGCATTAAAGAACAACCGCTATTAGCCAATGCCCTTATTGGGACCACGGAGAATGAAAGTTTCCAGGAAGTAAAGAAAAAGCAAAGAAGGAAAAAGGCTCTTTCACAAGTGGCCAAAGAGATCAAGGCCTCTAAACCTATAGCAGAGGAAAGTTTAACCAAGAAAAGGTCTACACATCAGACTACGATGGCCGATATTGTTAAAGGGCTTCCATTAAAACCGATGGATACTACAAGACCAACTTATGTTACCATCGCTTCTCAAGGTAAAAGTGCAGTTGACATCATCAAAAACCTGCCTTCTCTAACTGAACTAGGAGTCAAGGCGAGAGTTGTACGGACGACCAAAGCTGGCTCAGTTTTAGTTTGTGTAGATGAGGGTGCCCATGCGAAAAAAATAATTGAATGGCAAAAATTAAAAGAAGTTGGGATGGAGACAAAACTAGCCTTAAAAAGAAAACCAAAAGTGGAGGTAAAAGGAGTTCCCCTTTCGTGGACTGCGGAAAATCTAGAAAGGGTGCTATGGGAAAGGTTGGCTGCAAAATCGGCCGCTATCTCTGAGAACAAATTAGGTAATATAAAGCCATTGTTCTCATCAATGGCTAGAAATAAAATTACCAATAATTGGGTGTTAGAAGTACATCCGATGGTAAGGTAAAATCTACTCAAGGAGGAGATAATTACAGGAGGTTGGTGGTCACTGACAATCTTAGATTACCCCGATGCTCCTCCCTGTCTAAGGTGTCAGAGATATGGACATACAAAAGCTACTTGTGAGGCAAATGGCATAGTATGCAAGTGGTGTGCGGCGAGTGGGCATATTGCTAAAAACTGTCCTGCAAAAGGAAATAAGACCGCACCTACATGCGTTAACTGCGTGAGGGAAGGTGTTCAAACAAGTAAGGCTAAACACCAGGCAGGAAGTCGAGAATGCCCGGTGCCCATCAAGAGATCTCAAGAATTAGTGAGGAGAACTCACTATGATTAGACTCAACATCCTGCAGTTGAATATGGGCTGCCGGCATATTGTGGCTGACGAGCTTCGGGCTATGGCACAACGCTACGATATCATGGCGGTCCAGGAACCTAGCTGCCGTGGGAACAGGATTACGGGGTTTGGCCTCACGTCAAGGGTTATAGCCCTGAGCAGTGGAGAGAGGATGCCCAGGGCTGCAATAATGATTAATAATCCTAACCTTGACGTGATGGATCTGAGACAACACACCATGGCGGATTATTCATCTTGCTATGTTAAGTGGGGCAAGATTTCTTTCACATTGGTATCGGCATACCTACCTGTAAATAGTGATGTAGAAGAAAGCATATCAGCTATGGAGGCGATCATTAGAGAGATGAGGAATGTGATCATGTGCTCAGATACCAACTCCTGGAACACGGTCTGGGGGTCCAATATTACTGACAGGCGAGGCGCTAAAATGGGAAATTTCATAGGCAGAAATCCCCTTGTCGTGATGAACGAACCCTCTGCCACCCCTACCTTCTCTGGAGGCATGGGGCAGAGTTGGATTGACGTCACGATCGCCACGCCTGCGCTTACGAGGTATATTGCTGATTGGACTCTCAGATCTGATACGAGTTCTGATCACGTTGCGATAGCAATTGGCCTGGTAAATGAGCCAGGATGTTCCCACGGTACTGATAAGGGTTTCGTCACTAAAATAAATGACTGGAGTGTCTTCAGATCCTGCCTGGAAGGAGTGATTGCAGACGAGGAGTGGGAAGCAGCAGAGATGGATGTAGTCGACAATTTGGACTACAAGGTGTTCAGGATTATCAACAACATTCGTGATGCTGCCGAAAACTGCCTCAAGCACCGGAAGACGGGGGTTCGACCTGTCCCATGGTGGACGCCAGCCTTAACTGTTCTAAAACGAGACCTCTACAAGACCCGGCGGTCATATCAGAGGTGCAGATGGGACGAGAGGCGCACTGTACTTCGCAATGAGTACAAGTCAAAAGCCAGGATATACCGAAACGAGGTTCGCTCACAAAAGCGGAAGTCTTGGGACGATTTCATCATTGAAGAGTCTTTGAAGAATCCCTGGGGTATTCCGTATAGGGTAGCATTGGGTAAGTTGTCCCCGCTGCAGACAATTGCAGCCTTGCGGTATCATAATACTCAGGCAACCACCCTTGAAGAAACTGCCAATGTTTTCATTGAAGCAATATATCCCAGAGATGACCCAACCCAGGACAGCAAAAATGATGATTTTGTGAGACGCACCATGGTATATCCACCTGGTTCAGATTTGTGCCCACCATTATGGGACATTCACGATCTTCGTATTGCCGTGGGTAAGCAGAAGACTAATCGTGCTCCAGGACTTGATGCAATAGATGCAGCGATCTTGAGGAACAGTATCATGTATATTGAAGACCGGCTGTTGAGTATTTTCAATGAATGTCTGGATATGGGATACTTTCCAAGAAGATGGAAGATCGCTGATTTGAGACTACTCTACAAGGGAGGAGGTAGGGACAAACAACTCTCTAATTCATATAGATCTATATGTCTCCTCCCTGTGATTAGCAAGGTCTTGGAGAACCTCATGATGACTAGTTTACGGCCTGTTTTCGCTAGAGCAAGTCATCCACGGCAATATGGATCAACCAGAGGCAGAGGAACCGCTGATGCCCTGCTGAGAGTGCGCAAAGATGTTGAGGAGAGGGCGGAGCAGTATGTCATGTTGCTCCTTTTCGACATATCCTCCACCTTCGACAGCGTATGGTATCCAAGTGAGGTGGTAACCTACCTAGGGGTTAGGTTAGGTGTAGGCCTCAATATGACGCCTCATTTAGAATATCTAGCAGGTAGGGTGGCCCTAGCAATGAACGGTCTAAGTCGTGTGGGGGGCGCATTTTGGGACCTTAGGTATCCAGCCACTATCACTATTTATAAGGGTGTTGTGGAGGGTATCCTTAGGTATGCGTCTCCCTTCTGGTTCCGAAACCTCACACTCAGACAAAGAAATAGGCTAGCATCGACTCAGAGGACTGCTCTGCTTCGGGTTACCAGAGCATATAGGTCTACGTCGCATGAAGCAGTGCAGGTCTTAGCGGGGGTGGTGCCTCTCGACCTCCTCCTGTGAGGTTTGATTACAAGAGGGAGGGCTCAACAGGTCTGTCGGAGAACCTACGGATGAGGATTATTGAAAACCCAAATAAATGGAAAAACATTATCCGGGAGGAAATAATTGAAGATTGGAGCAGACGGTGGGTGACGACTCCGAAAGGCAGTACCTTAAGAAAATACTTCCCCACCGTTGAATCTCGGTTACAGGCAAAATGGGTCCTCCCGGACTATTGGGTTTCACAATTTCTCACGGGGCATGGGGGTTTCAGAGCTAAACTTCATGGCTTCGGACAGGATATAGATCCCCACTGTCCCGCTTGTGGTGTTCCGGAGACTGTTGAGCATGTGGTCACGGCCTGCACTGCTTTCGACGAATTAAGAGCGAGGTTAATGAGAACCACGGGAATTTACGTCCTCACTGAGGAGTTTCCTCAGTTGGTGAGTGAAGAGAACTTCCCGTGGTTCAAAGAGTTTATAAATGGCTGGAAGACGGCGGTGGGCCCAGCTCACTTCAACCTAGGTGCACGCAGAAGGAGAAGAGGACCAATCCCAGGATGACCTCCGGATTCAGGAAGCCAGGCCTAATTTGCAGAAGAATGAGGAAAAGTAGAAGAGCTAGCTGTGTGCACAGCTTAGAATTTTGTAAACCGATATTATGGCAGTAGTGTTATTATGCATTAATGCTTAACATCACACTACTGCATATACCCGTGTTGCCTGGTGGCATGGGAGGGTGGAAAAAAAAAAAAAATACCCATCCTAACTAAATTAGAAAAGTTTATTGAACTCAATTTATTTCATACTAATTTTACCAGTACAAGTAATAAAAACCTACATTAAATTTAATAAACCAATAAGGAGGAGTGGATGAGATAATATATTTTTAAATTATGAGTTATTTATTTTAAACTCAAAACCCAGTGCTGATAAATGTATAACTTCTGTGTAACACCTAAAATTACAATATTAGTTGCGACACAGAAAAAGTGTAACAAATTTTCATGTTTATGATAGATATTTAATAATGAAAAAAAGTTTTATGTTTTCTTACTTTCCAATAACAGATAGCTTAGGAGGTTGTTCAGGAGGAAGCAGATTTAGAGAGGCTCTCTGTTCACCAAGCTTAGGCTCGGAACTGAATGTAACGCCTCTCCGACTGTCTTCTGTTGGCCAACTAGCTCTCGGAATAACAGGAGGAAGGACGGACAATAGGAGAAGTGGTATTCCACCAGAAATGCTCGGAGATTTTCCACGTGTTTTTCCCATCACCTCGTCGAACTCATTCTAATGGATAATTAGTAATTGTTATTAAAAAAAACATTTTTTAATCGTTTGAGACTAATTTTTATATTGAAAAATAATTTAAACTTTAATGTTATCACATTAAGTTTTGATGTTAAATAAAATGAAAATGAAGGTTTTCAGTTGTATTATTGTTGATACAAATACTAACTATCGAATATGAAAAATTTTCAATTCTTCACTCTAGCGATTGTAATTTTAATTAAATATTTTTAAAGAGCAAATACGGAGTCTTCAAACATTCATAAAAGCACATATTATTGTAGAAATTAAAACATCTTTTTTGGGATGAATTGATAATGATATTAGAGTGGTGATTTTCAGGTTCAATAGTTAGCATTTGGATCGACGATATTTCACATTTAATGGCTTTTTTTTTTGTGAAACATTAAGAAGTATATTCCAAAAATAATATTTATAATTTTATTAGCAAGAACAAGCTTATTAAAATAATTATACCATGTTATGCATATCTTTTATATTTAAAGAAAACGATAAATATTAAAAAAGTAACCTTATTAACTGGAATAGATGAATGAGAACTTGAGGATGAACACTCATGGGCCAATTGTCGTTCAAGTTTATTGATTTCATTATCTAGAAGGTGAAGCTCCCTTCTATACACTTTATTTTGAACTTCAACTCTGAAGTGTAATTCGCGTCGGTCATCAGCTAAAAATCTGTTAATAACCGATGATTACTTCTAATTTAATTGGTTAAAAAAAGAAATATTTTTCATATGCTATGCCCAAAGCTCACCTTCTGGTATTACACTCTATTTTCAATCCCATACTCTGCATGATAGGATCAAGAGTCGAAGTACTGTTTGTGTTTCCAAGAATATTGTGAAGTTTGGGGAAGAAAAGAAGGCAGAGGGAACCAGTGGTCAGAGCAAGGATGGGTACTGCGATAGAGAGAAACGCAAGAGTCACACGCTCTGAGACAAGGTTCGCCAACACCACAACAAGAACACTTGTAATAACAACACTGTATACACTCAGCCCAATGTATTGTGAATCATTTAATGCAGGGATCTTCACATGCCTAGAAAGAGTAATAAATACTTATGTTAAAAATACAAATGAAATTAAATATTTAGAATTCAATCATGCTTTTTTAAGAATATTTGTGCATAGAAAACAATACATGGGAATCTAGAGATATTGGTACGTTCACAATGCTACATTAGGTTTTTAGTAAAAATAAAAATGTTTTATTTATACATTTACAGAGCTCTCTGTTCTGAGGTCATGATGGCCAAGATTTTTAAAGTGCAAACTTTAGCATCTAGTATCTCGAGTCTAATGACTCCGGTTTAGATCCAGTCGGGGCGGGCTGAAATTTATTTTATGATGGATCCATGGAATAAATCTCAACCTTCCCACTTTAGTCAGAATAGGTTTGGGTGTACCACTAGAACAACTTCTCATGTGCAAGATAGAGGATAATTGGAAAAACAAGAGGCTGTGTTCTGGAGGAAAACAAGTTCCTTCTGCAAATGACCAAGGAAAACTATGCACACTTCTAGGACGTTTGGTAGAGGTGGGTTTCTCATTGAAAACGAAAAACAGTTTTGTTCCAGAGGGAAGGACTGTAGAGGAGGGTGGACAAATTGTTAACATTTTAATGCACAGCTCAGGAAAATTGCTAATTGTAAATTGTAATAGTTGTGAATGCATGCTTTTATAACATTTTACTTCTACAAACACCTGTATAATCTAAAATGTTTTGTGTTAATAAGTTAATAGAAGTAGATATTAACATAATTTATTATTTTAGTCAAGTTTTATTAATAATGTGTATATATGCCATCTAATGTTATTTTGAAATGCATTCCATCCTCAAGATACATTGATTTATCAAGGAAAATATAAAAGAACAGTGATCAATAGGTTTAAGAAAGAAATAATTTCTTATTTTTTATCAATTATTTTTTTTTATTAAATTATAAGTTAAATGGCTCATAAAAATAAGTTAAACAGTTTTTTTTTTTCTAACATCTCTTGACTTCCGCCATTAGTCTTCTTGCAGCTATGGGTCTGTTCTAGGCGACGGCTGTGATCGTTCGGTTCTCTTACTTAGTTACTTACTCTTATCAATCAATGAGGAATTTTGTGATATATATATGATGTTTATATTGACATTGATTTCATATAATTGGTATTATGTGATAGCAGACATTAAAATTTTGTCATTTTACAGCCCTTTTCTTTTCTTTTTTTTTTTCTTAATGATATATATATAACTGTATTAAGGAAATACATTTAGTAAATTCGCACATAGATATAATGACATGAAAACACTTGTTGAGAAACTACAGAATGGTATCACTCTAATGACATGTCTACATTAGGAGATCACGGGACCGTCTTCTTTTCAGACGCCTCGAATGGTTATCAGGAATTGAAGAGGAAGCAAGGTTAGAAACGAGAGGGTTGGGATAATTCTGAAGTTTATTATGGAAGGATAGGTATCTGAATCGGGCCAGATCTGAAACATAAGAAGCATTAAGGTCATTATGGATGTATTTGTAACAAAGTAGGGAGCATTGAGGATTTTACAAAGGATTTTGGATTGTAAGGATTGGATACAAGAGGAATTTGATGGTTTTGTGGAGCCCCATAGCTCAACTCCGTAAGTCCAAATAGGCGTTATTATAGTCTGGTATTTGAGTCTTTTGTAATTAATTGGAAGTTTAGAGCGTTTGTCTAGTGGGTGCTGAAGTCGAGTGGTTTCTTGTCATTCAGTCTGGTATGAGGATTGAAAGTAAGATGTTTGTCCAGGTGAAGTCCTAGGTATCGGATTTGGTCAACAGGGATAACTGGAGTATTGTTAAAGGAAACTGTAGGACAGGAAGTCACAGGTTTACGACAAAGGGTAACGGTAATTGGATGGGATTTATTGGAATTTATTTTTATTCTCCAGTTTTGACACCATTCTTAAAGATTTATGATGTGTGATTGAAGCATTTGGGGTGCAATTGATGGGTCATTGTTTACTGATAGGATCATGTGTCATCGGCATACATGGTGATGACAATGTTGGGATAGTTTGGGATGTCAGCAGACTGAGAAAAGAGGGATGAATAAGTGTTTTTGTGATCTACTTTAAAATATCTATCAGTAAGGTAGGAACGGATAATGAGGAAGTATGTAGGTGGTAGGAATTTTTGGAATTTGTACAGCAGTCCCGGGTACCAAACTCTATCAAACACTTACAACCATTTAAAGGAGACTTTTAAGCAGTTAAACTATGGTAAGTTTGCTTTTTCATAAAATCAAGGATTCTTCATTTTTGTTATAATCCCCCAACTGGACTGATAATACCACATTTTTAGAAAAACTTGTGAATATTGGGGAAAGGCTATTTTCCCCCTTAACTTTACAGGACTAAATAGTTTATTATTTCTAGATAATTAAATATCAAATAAGTGCAGTGCTGGCCTTAAGGGTGGAGCAACCAGGGCAATTGCCCTGTGGGGCCGGCTGATCTTCAGAGAGGCTTGCCAGTTGTAAGATATAAAAAATAAGTAATGAAACGTATTAAAATGATTAATTTTAGCCTTCCAATAAAGTAAATGTATTAGAGAAATGTGGAATCCAATAAAATTCAAATATTACATAATATAAAACAGTTTAAGAAATAAATTTAATTTCTTTTGGGGGGAGGGAAGGGGATAGATGACGTCATTGGCCAGAGGCGCCGAATGTCTAAGGCCGGCACTGAATATGTGTGCTCTATCACACTACTTTTAAAAGTATGTTGGCCTGCTAAAGAATATTTTTATAATTTTTTATTAAGAAATTTAAACAAATAAATTATTCCTCTAATCATGACCTTGGTTGCTTCAGTAGATGTAACATTTTTGAGTAATAAAAAAAACAAAATAAAGGAGATAGCTATGCAGTATAATAACAACTAAACAATTATAATGCTATATTTCTGCATCAAATCGTACAGTTTCGATGATTTTTTTTTCTTTTTCTAGGGAATTAAGGAAGTTTCAAATAATCATGGGTATAATTAATAAAAAATTGTGTACTTTTTCTATTATTATCAAATAAAATTCTGCATTCACTGTAAGTTTTTTTTATAGCTTCTTTTCAGGAAAGTATGTTATATACCATATATTATGTTATATTTCATATTAAATAATATGAGATATTTATATAAATAAATAAATTTTCTGATATAACATCTTAATAAAATTCATAGGATTAGAAAAGTTTTTAATGAAAAAAAGTTACCTTGTTTCCCATGCCATATAAACTCCAACAACAAGGAGTAAACCCTTATAAGCATAAAGTATGCCTAACCAGCTATGAATAAATTGTGAAGAACATACTTCAATCTGCAAAAAAATAAACATATAAAAAATGGGAATACTTATATTTCAATTATAAAATGGCAGATCTTGGTTAGTTTGAAATAATAATATTTTGAGTTACTTGAGGCTGATAAACAATACTCCTTTCGATTGGAGATATCTCCAGGGAAAGATTTCTCAACTGCCTTTCGATTGGGTCAACAGTAACCCACAGAGTGACTATTAGACCGTCAACTATCAATAAGACAAAGATCAGAGATATGAGCTGTGTATCTTGTAGCAGCTAGAAAAAAAGAAAGAAAAGGAGATAAATAAAATATTTAACAAAATGGTGATAATGGTGATGGCGAGAAGTACCCACTTTCTAAATGGCAGATCATTAATATCATCATCATCATTTTTATAATATTTTATTTTTAGCTAATTTAAAAAAAGAATGATTGTGATTCAAAAAGACCTGATAAGATGTTCCAAATGTTTTTAGTAAAAATTTAAAGTATTAATATTTGATCTCTCTTTTTATTATTTTTATATTTCTCTTTTATTAAAAATGACTGCAAATTTCCATGATTCAATTAACAATTTTTGAAAAAAGAAAAAATATATTTTGCAAAGTATTTCATGACAAAAGATAAAAATTGAAGATACCATTTTTTTTTTTTTTTAAGTACCATATTTCAAATCAATTTAAAGACTTTCTTGGTAAATCTGAACGTGGAATTTGTTTGAGCTAAGATTCTGTGGAAAGAAGTTATGACACTGCTATTGTAAAAATATGATTAAAAAAAATAAAATCTGGTGCGGTGCGTGCATCAAACAACTTTCACTTACCACCCAATTATCACTTAATCACTTTCACTTGCCAACTTTCACTCCTCTTATCAGAAAGTATAAATATTTTCAGACCAAGGAGAAGTGAAAGTAAAAATTATAAACACTATATTTATTTATATTTCATTGTGGGCATTTTTATTTGCCTAAGTACTTTTATGTATACAAATTTTAATATTTAGATCGCTGTAATATATACAATCAAATATTAAATAATACCAACAATAGCATTTATATATACTTATATAATATTGTCAGAATCCGTATTATATTAAGCTCATGTTATGTACAAAAGCGTGATCTGATCTTTTGGGTTAGAGATCATCAATCAGAATAAAAACAACATTTTATTTTAAATTGCTTAATTTTACGCGGACATAATAGATTTAATCAAAATTGTTAGAGCCATTTTCGAGAAAATCGTAAAAAGTGTTTAGTCCATGATATAAAGTACCATTTCCGATAAGCCGATTTTGACGAAAAAGTTGCTGTAACATCCCTAGCACATAAAAACCTTAAATATAGCATTTCACTTTCATACAACTTTTCATTTTTGAGCTAGACTGTTAACACGCAGACACAGACATAGACACACACCTACACACACACACACAAACACACACACACACACACACACACACACACACACACACACACACACACACACACACACACACACACAAACACACACCATTTTGCAGGACTTGGTTATTTGGACTCAGGGAACCTCAAAACGTGTATTTCCGTTCAAAACTGAGATTCAAAAATTTTCACGATCGCAATACTTTTCTTTACAATATATTTCATTTATAGGTATGTGAAAGTAAAGAAACAGTATTCTACATTCTATACTATTAAAACAGCATAACTTTATCTGAAACAGATGATTCTATTTAAATGAAGCTCATTAACAGAATTTTATTAAGATAATACAGGATTTGTCATATTTGTTTTCTTTGAAGAAAAAAATTCAAATTTTACTAATGAACAGATTATCAGAACATTTAAAAAAAAAATTCAAGTTTTATTAATTTTTATTAATGAACATTTTAAAATCTATTTGTCCATATAATATATAATATATATTCAATTTAATATTTTTACATAAACAAATAATGATCAAATTAATTAAAATCAATAAATGCATGATAAAGAAAAATAAACTCCTCCCCAAAATGTATGATTTATAACTTTAAGTTAAATAAATTTAGATAAAAACTAATGAGTTATGCAAATGCGATACACCTTTGAGTAGAAGGTTAAGTTAGATGAATGTGGCTTTAATGAAAGTAACTGTATTCCAAAATCATAAAATAACATAAAGTAAAGAAAAAAAATATATTAATAACAAATATTGCCTGTTGTGAGAATATACCTTATTTTTAACCACTCCTTTAGCACTTCTTGTGAATATTCTATGAACTCTGTAAGTTTTAGCAAACATTGACCCAAATGACATTGAGAAACCAGCTGACAGGAGGTAAACTCGAGCCTGTAATTTCGTAAAATAAATATATAAATATTAGTAATATAACATAAACTTGGAAGTGAGATTTGAAATGTAATAGATATATCTAATGCTTAAAAGGAGTATTTAACTCTTGCTCTGTTAATAAATATAATAATAATACTATATTTAATTTATTCTGGGACGAATTTGGAGATATATAAGAAGAATCATACAATAAACTGATATAAAATAAAATAAAATAAGTTACCTACTAGCTTTGATCAGTCAAATATAAGATGAATCAATAATTTGTTTTTGAATTGTACCGATTTTACTAATATACTTTTTTTATTTTTCATAAATAATTGAGTAAAACAATATCTGAATGAAAATTAAATATTAAGAATCTTTAATATTATTGGAATTTGCTGAATCCAAAAAAGACCATAAAAGAGATTTTCAGCTGAGGTATTTTGTATGAAAATTTTATATAAATGGAAGCATGTAATGTGAATAGAACCACAAAGTCAGATAAATAGTGTAAAATAAAGTGAAATTTAAGAAATAATAAAGTTAAAGTTTAGATATGAAATCTGTTTACTTTCCTTTAACTAAACCATAAGTTAGAAAACCCACCATTGATTTTGATTGAACTTAAAAAGATTTAAGAACCTCATTTATTTATTAACATATGGGGTACTGGTACTGTTGGGGGAACCGATCAGGCAAAAAGGTCTTGTGGTCCTTTTTTTCAGTCGCTGATGGCTACCTTGAAGTTGCCACCATGTACTACTTTCTAGAGAGGGAGTATCAAAATTTGTTTCCTAGGGTAGCCGAGAAATAATTATTAACCGACCCAGGTAGGAATAAAAGATTCAGAACTGAGGATTTTGGAACCCATACCAAAATTTGCTTGGTCATCACATTTGGTGTTGTTAATATAATATAACATACAGAGAATAAAAGGAAACATCCCATTAAAAAGTCAACTTAGAATGGAGCCAGGGGAATCTAAGAAAGATGCCAGTCTAGGAATACTTATAGGGGTTTTTATAAGTTCCCCTTTTTTCGGCCCCTGCATCCTCTAAATCGTCAGTTTTCTGAAGATATAATCTTACTTCAAAATCACAAAACATACCGCACATCGTTCCCAGAAAGATGTAAATCTTATCTAACTGACTTTAACCTAACACTCCAATCCATCCCAAAATTCGAAAATCCAAATAAAACCAAAAGAAAATAGAACCCTGGTCACTCCCTATTCCTAAAATTAACAAAATCAAATCAAAAGGCAATTCGCTCATTATACCGTTAATAGATTTTAATTGCTTCAAAAACGCCCATCAGGAATTGACATTTATTTATACCGACGGGTCTAAAACCAAAGGAGTAGGCGCTGCTATGGTGATGGGAAATAATTATCTAATATTATCCCTTCCTCTAATTTGTACAATCTACACCGCTGAGCTATCTGCTCTAAACGGTGGCGTAAAGTCCACTGATGCTAAACTAGCTAGGCGCGTGATTTGTTCAGATTCAAAATATACTCTCATATCAATATAGGACCCTTTTTCTCAAAACTGGTTAAAAATCGATACTCTAAATAATCTTAAAACTGCAGATGGCTGGATGTATGGTAAAATTTTTATGGTTACCAAGTCATGTCGGGATCAAAGGCAATGAGATGGCTGTCCGGAGAGTCACTCCAAATATAATGCTGACCAGAAGGGAAGAAGTGATACTGACCCGGCTAAGAATCAGACATACTATGCTAACCCACGAGTATTTAATGAGGGAAGATGAGAAAAGTGAACTATATCTTAACCGAATGTTATGCATTCCGATCTCTTAGGGATCAACATCTTTTCAGAAATAGTCTCGAAGAATCACTCCAAAAGGACTCCAATTCTATTAAAAACTTAATATTGTTCCTTAAGGAAACCAAAATATTTTACAAAATTGTAATCACATCTACAAATTTGTACAAAATTTAATCACATCTTGTAATTGTAAATACAGATACTTGTTTAAAAAAAAGGATTCCAACGGATTGGGAATATAATATTATAATACCAATTCACAAGAAAGAATGTCAGGCAGAATGCTCTAACTACAGAATGCTCTAACTACAGAATGCTATGTCTCTCGCCAGTTGCTTACAAGCTATATACATCCATATTGGTGGGTCGCTTAAGACCACTAGTTGAGCAGCTAATAGGAGGAGAGCAAGCCAGGTTCAGATCCGGGGGCCAAACCCTTGACCATATTTTCTCATTAAGAAATATCTTACAGAAATCCTGGGACCTAGATAAAAATATGTACCTGGCTTTCCTTAACCTCAATTCTGTCTTCGACTCGGTTCCACGAGATGAAATATGGGAAGCTCTCAGATCGAAGAATGTTCCGAGAAATCTGACAGAGGCGATAAAATCTATATATAAAGAGCCCAAAGGAATAGTCAGACTGAATGGGCTAGAATTAGATTGTTTCAATATTGCAAAGGAAGTGAAATAAGGAGACAGCCTAAGCCCATTGTTGTTCTTGTTCTTCATGGTTGAAGTGGCATCCATTTGTAAGAGAAGAACGGACAAGACATTCATGGGACGTAGGAATCTTAATCCTGTAGTGATACAGCTTCTCCTCTACACCGACGATGTGGTATTGATTACGGTCTCAGTTCAAAAGTTGCAATTGGCAGGCATGGAATGGTATGAAGAGCTCCAACGAAAAGGGATGCTTATAAATACCAAAAAAAGTAAGATCCTACAAGTCGGAAGAGAAAAGGAAGATATCCACATATGCTGTAATGGAGAAGAAGTAGAAGTGGTGACAGACTTCACACACCTGGGTACAGTGATAGACGGATCTTTGAAATAAAATTTCTGCGAAGGACGGTTGGGAAAACAAGGAGAGACCGAGTTCACAATGAAAGTATTTGTCAGGAACTGCAGACAGCCCCACTGAAAGAGCTCCTAGAAACTCGTCAACTAAAGTGGTTCGGCCATGTTATCAGGATGGACGACCACATAGATCCTCTAAAGACCATGAAATATGTCCCAGATGGTAGAAGACCTAGGGTCCGCCCTAGAATGTTCTATCTTGAGTATATTGAGCCCGAACTCTCTGTAGGGAGAGGGAGAAGGACCTCCGACAGGCGAGGAACTTAGCTAGAAATAGGAAAGAATGGAATTCCTCCTCCTGGCTGAATGCACCTCTATGCTGAGGGGCACTATAGAGAGAAGCTAAAGAAGAAGAAGAAGAAGGTACCAGTTAATTTTTTTAAGTTTGTAGGTTCCTCTTCAAATTGTAAATATACCTGTTAATTTTTCTTCTTTTAATCTTAATTTTTAATTATAATGGTTTTCAATTTTCTTCTCGTAATTTTTAATATTTAAATTGTATTTTTAACTTCTCTTCTTTCAATACAAATTTTATTTTTTAAACCGTATTTTTTGATTATATTCCTGAAATCATTAACCTTTTATTTATATATATTTGTTAACACATCTTTTTCTAATCTTTAATATTTAATTTTAATGGTTTTTGTTAAATTTTCTATTTTTAAATTGTACTCTTTAACTTCTCTTCTATTAATTTTTATTTTTTAAAAACGTATTTTTAGCTTTTGTTCTTAAATCATTAACCTTTGTTTTAATTGTCTTTGTTAAGTTATGTCCTTTTAATCTTTAACTTTTAATGTACTATCATATTCAGATGTAACTATTTTCAATTTTCTAAACTTTAAATTGTATTTGTTATGTATGCCTATGTAGTAGTTGATCCAAGTGTACTATAGGACGAAAATGACCCAGGTGGTTGAAGAGCCCAAAACATTTATAAATAAATAAATAAAAATAAGTTCCCCTTGACAAATTTCCGTATCAGTATGAAATGAATCAGTATGAATGTTTTCGCATTTATTAGTCAATTAAATTACATTCATTTAAGGAGGCCTTTGAAATAATATTTTTCAAGGATATCAATAGAAAGTGAGATAAAGTAACACGGAAAACTTAAAAATAGATATAGGAGCTATGTATGGGCCGATTTGAATTAAGATTCTATAGGTTCAGCCTACGTCCTTCACTATGGCAGATAAAGGACATAGCAAAATAGGACTTTTATAATCTTTTTTGTAATGGTTATTCAAATTAATTATAAATTTTATGCAGATTCATGATTGAGGATATGGCCAAGTTTAAGAATAGACTACAACTTTAATCACTATTATTTTAATATATATATATATTTTTTTCCTATCCCCCAGGAAATTCTTGATTACAAATACAATATATATACAAATGTTATATATACATAAATTTTTCAATTTCCTTTTAAATTTTAATATTAAAAACTGATATAAACATATATAGTTATCAAATTAAATAAATGTTTTTTTATGTTTTCACTTACTGTGCAAACAGTTGGAAATATTTGTGAAGTTGGTAAGCTTCCGGTGTCCAAACCGAGTAGAATAACGGCAAGATAAACCAAGACGCAGCCAACAACAGCCATATTGTTGAGTTTTGGACTAGATAGTTTTATGTACCTGCATTAAAACAAAAAAAAAAAGTTTTATGTTAATTATTATAAATTTGTTATAATTATAAATTTATGGCAATTAGAAAATGATTGTTTAGGCACTGCCGGCTTTAGGGTAGTGTAACCCGGGCATTCGGTTGGGGGCGACAGCCTGGGTGGAATTAAAAAAAAATAATAGTACAAATCGAAGGAGAACTGAATTAGAGGGATATTGAATGAAATATAATTCAGATATTAAAGGAATTAAACATATGTTACTCGAATTACATGATATTGTAATTGCAATTACTTAGCGTCTAAACTAGCAACCGACTCTCCAGAAAAGAAGAGACAGTCCTCTGCCACTTACGAATTGGGCATTGTGAATTTCCACATGCCTACTTACTAAGAGGACTAGACCTACCGACTTGCGAGAGCTGTAAGGTGGAAAGAACTGTCCAACACATCAGCCAAGACTGTCCAGTATTTAAGAATGTAAGGAAAAATCTCGGTATGGCTCAGAGAAAAGAAAACCTCAGTGACAACGAAAACGCCGTGGAAAAAACCTTACAATTTTAAAAAATAATAAAGTTCTACAATAGAGTATAAATAGAAAGTGTTGCCAATGACCCTGCAGGGTAGAGGCAACAATAAAAACAAACAAATAAATAAATAAATACTTAGCGTCGAGTAGTAATTGTAATTGAAAACCTCAATACACATGCTTATAAACTCAAGCACAGTCCTATTTGTATAATATTTGCTTAACTATTAATAATTCTAATTCTATTAATAATTATTAATAGAATTTCACAATAGTAAGATTCACATATATGCACATATAGGTAATTCAATGTAATAATAGCATTTAATTTTGGATTATAATTGCTTATGCTATATAAAGATGCAAATTAATAAATCAGCAATATCATTGTATTTTATATTCTATGGCTGAATCCACCCCTCCAAAAATTAAATCCTGGATCCGCTAGTGCCCTGATGGAATGTACTTCCATATTTACTTCCGGGTGTTGGCATGCACCGATACATGTGACAAAATATATTTGCCTAGAGCCATAATGTGTAGTGAAAGGAACCCAACCACTAGACCAAGTTTAAATATTCGTACATGTCAATTTCCCTATCAAAATACCAAAATATTTCAGTAGATATGGAAGTAAATTCCCTTAGGGTGGGTAGGGTTTCACAATTTCTGTAGTCGGTATTTATTTTTAAAATTTTTATTTATTTAGAAATATAATAATCTGTCACGTGGATAATAATTATAGTGAGATATGGACACATTTACACCATATTTTTAAAAATAAAAATATTTTTTTAACAACTCTGATTGACACCTATTTATGAGGCAATAATTATTTCTAAAAAAAAACAACAACTTAAATTGGCTTATTATAATACTTCATGTATGATGTTAAAAAATATTACAGTAAATCATTTTTATCTAATAAATTTTGCGAGAATGAACTGTCCATATCAATGAATTTTCTATATCTTAAGCAAATTTAAGCATTGCAAATCAAAAAAAAAAAAAAAATGGTGCACGCATCACCGTTCTACTTTGAATAGAAATTATTTTTTGGAGATATTGGGCTATTACAAAATTTTTGAAGTGCATTTTTAACGGAGCTAAAGCTTAAAGCTTACAGCTGACAAATCATTAAGACCATTGAAATAACAAAAACCTTATTTATTATATAGACGGAAGGCAATAAAAACTTATTTGGAAGTACATCGGTGTATTTAACCTATAAATATTTAATCTATACAACATTTGGTAAATATTTGGAAAAACATATCTTTTTACCAAATC